CTACCCGAAGCCCATAGCTGGGAGAGAGAGGGAAAAGCCTGCAAGCTCAGAAGAGCTGGCCCCCAAACAGTAAGGCCATGTGTTTTATCCCAGGTTCACACTCATAACTTCAGTTCTTTACAAGTTACTGGACTGCAAGACATTGAAAAGCAGAGGAAAAGGGTGAGAGAGTGGAAGCAGAGAAGTAGAGACAAGAAAAGATGAATTGAGGCATAAAATAAAGAGAAGGGACAGAATGCAGAGGAAATGAGGAAACCTGCAGGACCAAGAAAGACATGAACGTAAAAATGTGCTGTCATTTTTTTGCTGTTGTTTTGTTTTGTTTTGTTTGAGTCGATAGTATAATTCTTGTTGCCCAGGCTAGAGTGCAATGGCGCGATTGTGGGTCACTGCAACCTCCGCCTCTCGGGTTCAAGCTATTCTCTTGCCTCAGCCTCCCGAATAGCTGGAGTTACAGGTGTCCACCACCATGTCCGGCAAATTTTTGTATTTTTAGTAAAGACAGGGTTTCATCATGTTGGCCAGGCTGGTCTGGCACTCCTCACCTTAGGTGATCCACTCACCTCAGCCTCCCAAAGTGCTAGGATTACAGGCATGAGCCACCGCACCTGGCCTGTGGTGTCATTTTCATGTGAAGAACATGACTGGCTGTGTTGAAATAGGTCACTTGTGATTTTCTTCATTGGCACTGTACTTCCTACTTGGGCTCCTTTGGTGCCACACAGGCCTCATTAGTGAGCCAAGTGGCTGGTGAGTTAACTAAGCAATCTAAATCCAGATCAAAACTGTGGCACATCTGTGGTGGGCCATGATCTAGTCTCTCTACACTATCCTGCCCAAAGATTAAGGAGTTAGGAAGTTACAAAACAGAACAAGCAGGAGATTGCTGACTTTTTCATATAAATAATGAAATGTTGATTCCTACTTGTGCTGGCCAAGACTTAGACTCCTGTCCTGCTTCTGTCTGGAGAAGGATGAAGTCAGTGCCTGTACTGAGGCCAGCTTATCTTCTGTCATGGCTGCATTTTCTCGACCAAAATTTGGGGCAGTGTATTCTGATCAATGCACATGTCCTTATGGAGAGATCTAGGACATGTGACCTCAAGCTCTACCCAGCACAAACCCTATATGTGCTTACTCCTCCCGGTGTTAAGACTTGATCTCCATCCTAGTTACAAATGCATACCTGCCCAAACTTCTGCAAACATGCCAGTTTGGGAAGTCTTCTGGGATCCCATGTATAAAGATTGTCAGGAAATGGTATTCTTCAACCTCTTTCGGTAATCTAATACATTTCACCAGTTAATCTTATATGCTGTAGTTTCAGCTTTTATCTTTTAAAAAATTGCATCGTAGAGGTACTAAATAAATTTGTCACAAATGCATTAATGTTCTTGACATGGATAAGCTTATGTCTCATATTGATTGGTATTTTAGGAGAAAGAGAAGAATTAAATCTGACTGCAAACCGTTTGATGGGAAGAACTCTCACCGTTGAAGTTTCAGTAGAAACAATTAGAAACCCCCAGCAGCAAGAATCACTAAAGCATGCCACAAGGATTATCGATGAGGTGGTCAATAAGTTTCTGGATGATTTGGGAAATGCCAAAAGTCATTTAATGTCGCTTTACAGTGCATGTTCGTCTGAGGTGCCACATGGGCCAGTTGATCAGAAGTTTCAATCCATAGTCATTGGCTGTGCTCTTGAAGATCAGAAGAAAATTAAGAGGAGATTAGAGACTCTGCTTAGAAACATTGAAAACTCTGACAAGGCTATCAAGCTGTTAGAGCATTCTAAAGGAGCTAGTTCCAAAACTCTGCAACAAAATGCTGAAAGCCGATTCAATTAGTCTTCAAACCCAAGAGCATTTACACATAGTGGTGTAAAAATGGTACAATACTATTTTAATTGATAACTAGTTCTTTGTGTTAGGTTTAGCCACTTAGTTGATACTGACAGTTGTTTGAGATGAGGAAGATATTCCATCAAGTATCTTCAGTTTTGTGAATAACAAAACTAGCAATATTTTCATTATCTATCTAGAGGTTTTAGATTGAATTCTTGTCTTGTACTAGGATCTAGCTTATTTCACTATTCTGTGGATGAATACAGTTTGTTGGGGAAAACAAGTGCTCAGCTAGGGGCAAGAACATCACTGCTTTTTCCTTTACTTGGTCTAGCATGGAATCATGCAGTCACCTGGGGCATTTAGCTGACTAGAAATTTTTTTTTTTTTTTTTTGGAGATAGAGTCTCGCTCTGTCACCAGGATGGAGTGCAGATCTCAGCTCACTGCAGCCTCCACCTCCTGAGTTCAGATTATTCTCATGCCTCAGCCTCTGGAGTAGCTGGGATTACAGGCATGCGCCACCTCACCCGGCTATTTTTTTTGTATTTCTAGTAGAGATAGGGTTTCACCATGTTGGCCAGGATAGTCTCAATTTCCTGACCTCATGATCCACCCACCTTGGCCTCCCAAAGTGCTGGGATTACAGGCATGAGCCACAGTGCCTGGCCTAGAAATTCTTTACCCTAAGCAGCACACACACAGTGTTAACAAAGCACTGTGCTTAGAGGGATAAAAGGAATCACGAAACAAGAATCTTTCCAAAGTTGTCTCATTTAGCAATGTTAAGGCATCTATATCAAATTATTCTGGATATAAAGATTTACGTGTCTCCATCTGAATGTAGTTTTTGATATACGAGAAACTATGACATAAAATGTGAGAAAATCACCTATAACTTACCACTGTGAACAATTATATATCTGCTTCATCTTTTCTCAAATGCATCAATTCTCACTAAAATTCCTACGTTGTTCCTTGCCTTTTTTAAAGTTAGATACTGATATAAAGTCTGTTTAATTGTGAGCTCTATTTTATGTAGTTATATCTTTATCCATTCCCCTTTTATGAACATGTAGGTTGTTTCCTACTTGTTGCTATTACTGCAATATACTTTTGTATACAGGACTTTTTCCTTCTTTCGTTTTTGATTTTCTCTGTATAAAGGCCCAGGAGTGAATTATATTGGGTCAAAGAGTATATGTTTTACTGGCCTCACACGTATTAAAATTTTTTTATATAAAGGTTATTGCAGTTTATACTTTTTTCAGTAATTAAAATGTAGCTATTTCACTAGAATCTTTTCAGCACAGAGCATCAACACTTTAGTTTGCATTTTGTTTGTTAACAAGGTTGACCAGTGTTGATTCTTCTTTTATCTGTGATAAAGTGAGGCAACTAGAGAACACTTACTTGTTCAAAGTAATTAGTGCTATTGATATACAAAAACCTCAGCCACTTCTCCAGATACTATTTTGAAATGAACACATCAGTTTTTATTTGAATGTAGGTATTCATACTGAAAAACAAAATCAGGATCCAAATTGATTTTATGTATGTGTCTCTCAATGCAAGCAATATTGAACTTCATTTTCTCTACAAAAAATGCCAAGTCTCTTTATAAAAAGCAGTTACAATCGGAAGACATTCATGTTACTTCCTTTGCCAGCTCCAGCTCTGCCTTATTTAAATCTTTCCATCTCATGAGAAACATTAATTCTATCTATGGCATAGCCACTTGGTTTGTTAGCGGACTGATTTGCTGTCATCAGGCTGAAATGATTTTTTGTGTGCATCATTTTTTTCTTGACCCGCTTTTTGAAAATTAAATGAATAGTCAAGTTTTCAAGTTCTCATGTATTGTCAGCATCTGTAAATCCCCTCCACTGTGGGAAATGCTACTGCTCCCAGCTTCCCATTGCTTCCACATCAGTCCAGGACGTTTTCCACCACAAATTATTCTGGCTCTGCCTCCTTGACCTTGGTATTCTTAGCATTGTTTTTCCCATTTTTTTGCAATGGAGTTTTTATTGGAGGCCATTCATTTCTGATCACAGACTCGAAGAGCTATGATCCACATTTCCAAGCTGCTTGAGGTCCCTGGTCTGCAGTGTCTCCAGCACTCTGTACCTAAAGCCAAATCCAGGGGGCAGGAAATCTCAGTGTGTTGATTTTTTTTTTTTTTTTTTTTTTGAGAGGGAGTCTTACTTTGTCACCCAGGCTGGAATACAGTGGTGCGATCTCAGCTCACTGCAACCTCCACCTCCCATGTTCAAGTGATTCTCCTGCTTTAGCATCCTGAGTAGCTGGGATTACAGGTGCCCACCACCCATGCTCGGATAATTTTTGTATTTTTAGCAGAGACAGGGTTTCATCATATTGGCCAGGCTGGTCTTAAATTCCTGATCTCACCCATCTCAGCCTCCCAAAGTGCTGGGATTTATAGGTGTAAGCCACCATACCTGGCCAGTGTGTTGATTCTTAACGTGTATTTTTATTTCTAAGAATGAGAGGAGTAAGGCCGGGCGCGGTGGCTCACACCTGTAATCCCAGCACTTTGGGAGGCTGTGGCAGGCGGATCAAAAGGTCAAGAGATAGAGACCATCCTGGCCAATATGGTGAAACCCCTTCTCCACTAAAATACAGAAATTAGCAGGGTGTGGCGGTGCACAGCTGTAGTCCCAGCTACTTGGGAGGCTGAGAGAGGAGAATTGCTTGAACCCGGGAGGCGGAGGCTGCAGTGAGCTGAGATCACGCCACTGCACTCTATAGTCTGGCGCGCAGTGACAAAGCGAGACTGTCTGAAAAAAAAAAGGTGGGGGGGAGTATAATTTATTTTCAAATGATGATGAATTTCCTGGGTCACATTTTTACCCTCATTTAAACTGTTGACATTTATGTAGATTAAGTGGATATATAGGATGTTTTGCCCTATCTCAATTCTATACCATTTCTAGAATGTAATATACAATTTCAGGGTAGCCCTCCTGCCATTCCTGGTTAGCACTGCTTTCAATAAAAGAGGGTATTAAATATTGGCAGAGTATCTGAAATGTGAAATATTTTTAGGTCGCTTTGATCTTTAAAGAAGTTGCATTATATATTTTAGTACTTAGTTTCACCCTGTTGATACAGTCATATATATCACTCAGAATTTTAGCTTTAAAATGCTTTTTTTTATTATTATTGGAATTCATCCTTCATGAAATTTTTATTGAGTGCTGTATTTTAAATTAAACTGGAGAGCATAACTGCAACCAAATAGCAGTACATACAAGTGGTTTTCCATTCAAATTTACAAAAGCATTATTTATTAGTAACAAAAATATGGAAGGAATTGTTTTCCTTTTATTCCAAATTTTTTATTTTTAAAAGACCATTTACTAACATCCTACTGTAGACATTTCAAGAGAGAGATAAAAGAAGCACTATCTAATAAAGATTATTATAGCCAAATCATCCAGTTACCCGGGAGTTTGGTTGTTGGATATTTGAGAGTCTACTGTGGCTTTAAATATTTTGCTAGCAAATAAATTCATCTGTGTGATGATAGACTTAGGGGTTTTGTAACTAAAAGCCTAAGGAGTGACTATAATCCACATGACATTCTTAACAGTTAAAACTGAGAAAGTCCTGTTCATTAGGTAGGTGCCCTGTGGAACTAGCTTTTGCCTCATCAGTTAATTGTTTTCAGGGCAACAGAGTAATGATAGATTAATGGGAACGTTTTACCAGGTTACCAGTAACTATTTCAAAGGTTTTGAAAAGGATGTTAATAATTAACAATATCTTCTATTAAAAGGGTCCAACACTAAGTTGGGACATAAGGTCCTAAGGCCAACTCCCCATTCTAAGATCTTCAGAAAACGTCCCATTTCCTAAAACTCACAGGTCCAAGGAGTACGTGTTACTGAGAGTTCTTTCTGAGCACTACATTACCAGCTTCTAAAAAAGCAACCACCTGAAACTCCGCTCCACAATGAGGAAAGTTTTCATCCTCTTTTTGGTAGTTTTAGTTTATTTTGTAAAAGTACATGTGTGCTATCAACTTTGGGCAGATACAAAGGAAATCATTTAACCTGGTTTTATTTAACTATATTGCTTTATATGGGCTATTCTGTATACTATTTAATTCATAGACAGAGACTGAAAAAGGAAAAGGAAACCTGAGGAACTCCGAAATATGGCAGTTATTCCACAGTGATAATATGTCTGTATGCAAAAGATTAGCCGTAATGTTAAACAAGTAGATTACAAGCACAAATGCACAGTAACCTGCAATCTTGAAAAAGTTTTTCTTTAGTTCATATGGTTTCATAAGGTTAAAATTTTTTAAGAGAATGAAGGGTGTTGGAAAAAAATACCAATTTGTGAAGGCTTTAAAAATTGATTAAATTGAGTAATTAACATATGGCTGACTTTCAGGCCTACTTAATTATTTTAAATGAGTATGGTTAGGTTTAAAATACAGCAGTGCAAATTAAAAATTCAAATGTATAACAGATCTCTCTCAGTTCTTATATAAAACTAAGTACATAAAGTTATATTACAAATAGTAGAGTAACTGCAACTATCCTCAGATTACTTTAATATAGAAAGGTAACATACTTTTATCCACACAAGTAATATGAAAAATAACCAGAACACACATAACAAGTGATTCTTCTGCCAATAAAGACCAAAAGACTATTTGCTGCAAAATATTAATTTGTGCAAGAATTAAAGAGACTATCTGAAAAGAGTGGAAAACATGACAGTATCCACTGTTAGGAACTGGGTTTTGCCCCCAACACCTGTCCCACTGTCAGCAATGCGAGTGGTGACAACTGGTGACAGAAAAACATTTTATATTACTCTGAAATAGATGATGCCAGATCACTTCAATATAATGAAAAGGGAAAATTTACTCTTTTTAATATTTTTATTATTTTTCAATCTAAAACAGCAAAGAGAACTTTTACTTTTCATCACGTAACAAGGACACACCCAGGAAATTTGATTTTCTCAACATTAGGAGGATGAGGGGGGTGCAGATGGAAGACTTAAAAAACAAAACACAAAAGGAATACATAAAACATTTTTTAGTACAAATAATGAAAAATGACTTCATGACACATTTTTTAATAACAAAAAAGTTATTTTTACATACTTTGAACTGCTGTAAAAACCAAGTATATTGAAAGGGGTTATTTATAGGTTAAAAATAAAACCATTGATGAATGATAATCAGTTTTAACACAGTGCATGCAATTATCTTAGCTGGAAAGCTACTGTCCCAACTGACAAAATTTATGCCTTGATACATGATTACATATGAAATGATTTTGTAAAGAAATGATTTCGTATGTGGGACTGACAGCTCTTCAGACAGTGCTCTAGAAACTGAAGGTTAGAGAAATTTGGAAGTGATCATCTTAAAGTACCATGTAAAAATACAAACAGAATGGTTTCGAGTTGCAGGGCATTGTAAAATCTGTAATTTGGGTTAAGACTAGTAATAATACTTTTGTGCATTTAAAAAATGGTTAGTATAATCCTGTAAGTGCAAAGCTGGGTTAGTGAGCAGCAAAAGGTGTTAGATACACCACCACACTTCACAGGACCTCCTGAATGATTGCAGATGTGCTGTGTACCTTCTTAAGGGGCTTTGGCTGATCTAATGACAGCAGGAGCTCACTGTGCTTATGGGTGATTATACCACAGATTTTGCAATAAGGGCTCACCAAGGAGATGCTCTAGCATTAAAATTCCTAGACTCCTCTTTTATCTGTGCTGTCACAGAGGAAAACTGCTTACTGCTTTTAAAAGATATAATAATATAAATTCTGATAGTAAAGCGCTATAAAAATTAGGTATGATTTTTTTGGCACAAAGCACTTTTTAAGCCCAAGCTTATTTTGCAAAATATATGTCTAGAGTTTTGAAAATAAAGACATATACATAATATGTAAATGGTTTTAAAAGTGAATTAATTAAATGTATATTTTCTTAAATACTGCACTTACCTTCAGCTGACTCCAGTACCAGACATCTGCATGCACACCTCACAGTCTACATGACACAGATATTGCACAAGTACTAATGCCAAAATACTAATGCAGTCTGGCAAGATTTAGGGTTTATCTTTCAGTATTACTTTTGTGAAAGTATTCAGATTCAATACTATTTTGCAGAAAAGCCAGATGACCAATTTGAGGAAAAGAATGCTTGCTATCTTTCCTGATCCACAGTATTAAAATCTGTAACAATATATTTAGGCATTTCATTTGTTTTCCAGCATTTAAAATTTAGCAAAACCTATTTTGAAATTTCTTAGAGCATTCCTTTAAAAATAGGAGAAGCTTCATCTAACGTTAAAAAAAAAAAATTGGAGTCCACAGGGCAGTAATTTTTCCACCAGAGGTCTCACTCTACATTCTCAAAAGCACTGCAGAGCAATATTTAAGTCTGTCACTTTCAGAGAGCCGTTAGGTGCAAAGTCTGCTGACAACCTTGTAACATACCAGGACAGCTGGATGGGTTTCTTACTGAATTGCACAATGTAAATTCAATTTTTTTCCTCCCAAAACATTTTACGGTATACTACAGCTGTTAAAAGGATTTCTGTTTTTCTTGGTCCTTTGTTTGTTGGGTCTAAGATTGATGACATCTCCACCATTGAGGGTACTTGAATTATGACCCAAGTGACTTCCACCAGATGTATTAAAGACACCTGTATAAATTGAGGGAAAACAGTGATTGGCACTGACATGCTTCAGAGTCACCTGTTGCATCCAGCTTGTTAGTAAAATCAGTAGTATTTTCAAATACTTAGTTTTTAAAATTGCAGTAAAATACAACAAAATTCACCATCTGTTTTTAAGCTTATGGTTCAGTGGTATTAAATACATATGCAATGTTGTGGAATGATGACCATCATCAATCTCTGTAACTCTACATCTTTAAAACTGAAACTCAATACCCATTAGACACTAACCATTCCTCCTCCCTGCAGGCCTTAGCAACCACCATTCTATCTTTTGTGTCTATGATTTTAACTGCTCTACCTTATATAAATGGAATACAGTGTTTCTTTGTGACCAACTTATTTCACTTAGTATAATGTCTTCAACGTTCATCCAATGTAGAACATTGCAGCATTTCCTTCCTTTTTAAGGGTAAATAAATAATACTCCATTTTAGGTATATAACACATTTTGCTTATCCATTCATATGTCAGTGGACACAGATTTATGATTTTAAAGCTTTTGTTTTAATTTTATTTTTAATAGCTAATACACATGGTACAAAGTTCAAGGGATGTAAGAGGTCACCCTGGCCAGGTGCGGTGGCTGACACCTGTAATCCCAGCACTTTGGGAGGCTGAGGTGGTCGGATCACGAGGTCAGGAGTTCCAGACCAACATGGCCAACATGGTGAAACCCCATTTCTACTAAAAATACAAAAATTAGCCAGGTGTGGTGGCACATGCCTGTAATCCCAGCTACTTGGGAGGCTGAAGCAGGAGAATCGATTGAACCAGGGAGGCAGAGGTTGCAGGGAGCCAAGATCGCACCACTGCACTCCAGCCTGGGCAATACAGTGAAACTCCGTACCCCCCACCACCCCCACCAAGAAAAGAGGTCACATTAAAGCTCTTTTTCACCAGGACTTTAACTCCTTGCCAGTTTTCCTCCCCTAAGGGTACACGTTACCACTTTTCCTACTTATCCTTCCAGATATAGTTCATGCATATACAGGCTACAATGCATATATATTCTCTTTTCTACCTAAGTTACGGCATATTCTATACACTGTTCTGCATCTTTTGACAATCTATTTTTGAAATTTGGAATCCGTAAATACAGTAATTGTAATAACATTAACATCATATCACTTCCTCAAGAATACCTAACTTTTAGTTAACAGTATTTGTGAGTTGTGTGGGTTTTGTTTTGTTTTTTTTTAAATTTAAGAGATGGGGTCTTGCTCTGTCACCAGGCTGGAGTGCAGCAGTGCAATTATAGCTCAATGCAGCCTTGAATTCCTGGGCTCCAGCAGTCTTGCCTCAGCCTCCTGAGTAACTGGGACTACAGGCACAAGAATGTGCCACTGGCTACTTTTTCTTTTGTTTTTAAGAGACAGGCTATTGCTATGTTGTCTAAACTGGTCTCAAACTCTTGGCCGCAAGCAATCCTGCTTCAGTCTCCCAAATGGCTGGGATTATAAGCACAAGCCACCACACCAGCTATTTATGAGATTTTGTGTTAATACTGCTAAGATAGGTTTTTTCCTACTTATGGTAAAACAGTAATAAAGTGGCCCACAGATAAAAGTGATGAGTAGCTAAAAGAATTTTATAGTTTCCATTTTTAACTGTGCTATTCACAAAATGTAATCTCTAATTTATGAATGATTTAGCATCCATGACACACAAAGTTTTGGGCCAGGGGTACTGTCAGATACAAAGGTGACTAAGACCAATTTTCGCCCACAAGAAGTTTACAATGTAATAGGACAGTAAACAAGTAATGCCCTATGACATTACCTGTTAAGAGTCATAAAAGAGACACAAAATCCTACAGAAGGTTCAAAGGAAGGACACATTGCATCTAATACATCAGAAAGGAAAAACTACATGAAGAAGGCAGAACTGGACAGTTGGCAATGTGCTAGACTTAGATGTCTATTCTTTTACAAGAAGATGGAGGCTGGGCGGTGGCTCACACTGGTAATCCCAACACTGGGAAGCTGAGGCAGGAGGATCACTTGAGCCCAGGAGTTCAAGACCAGACTGGGCAATGTAGTGAGACCCTGTTTCTTAAAAAAAAAAAAAGAAAAAAAACCAGGAAAAGAGTAAGAGGCTGTCTTCAGGCAGGCAGATATACAACTGAGAGCTTTCTAGAAAGGCCTCGAGGAATGAATTGTTCTTGACAGAAGATGGGAAAGAGTTCATTCTCAACAGAAGAAACAAATGACCAACAGTGAAGAAGAAAGCAAGCACGGGGCATACTCGGTGAAGATCAAGACCTCTGAGAGAACCAGTGAATGGAGTATACATATATGTAACAGTGGGGCAGAAGGCTATACAAAGGAAGGGCAAAACCATCTTTAAATGTTTGAATGAAGAGACTGCATTTACTTTGCTCCACAATGAGTCTTATTAGATACAGCTTTATACAGTATATATGAAGAAGACAAGAGTGGGGTCAAGGAGACCACACCAAGTAGAGGCTTATTATAAGCGTCTGGTGTTCACAAGGCATTTGAGGTCTCTGATGGCAAGGAATTATGCAATGAAAATGGCCAAGTCAGGAAAAAAAGCCAGATCTCAGAAAAAATCTAGTTAAAACAGGTCCAGAAAATAATGTGTTTGTTTATATATATGTAGTGAAGGGCAGTGGAAAAAAGATACGAATTCTTTAAGAGAATATACAAAAGATTTAGAGGCAGCAGGCTTTCATTTTCCTGGAATCCAAAGTAAGACGGGAGACATGGTCAGGCAGTTACTGTGAAAGAGAACATAACATACTTGTTCTTCAGGGAATGCTAAAGTTTTGCTAGCATTTAACATGAGAAAAAGCAAAATCAGCCGGGCGCGGTGGCTCAAGCCTGTAATCCCAGCACTTTGGGAGGCCGAGGCGGGTGGATCACGAGGTCGAGAGATCGAGACCAACCTGGTCAACATGGTGAAACCCCGTCTCTACTAAAAATACAAAAAATTAGCTGGGCAGAGTGGCACGTGCCTATAATCCCAGCTACTCAGGAGGCTGAGGCAGGAGAATTGCCTTAACCCAGGAGGCGGAGGTTGCGGTGAGCCGAGATCGCGCCATTGCACTCCAGCCTGGGTAACAAGAGCGAAACTCCGTCTCAAAAAAAAAAAAAAAAAAAGAAAAGAAAAGAAAAAGCAAAATCAGTAATGGGAATAAGATGGTAAGAAAGGAAAAAGGTAAGAGCCAGTATAAGTACAGATTCAGAAGAACAAGTGTCATAAAGCTCCTTTATATAAAGGACAGATCTTTATAAAAAGTCTTTATCTCTGCTGTGTTTAATCTGTCAAATGAATTTATAAAATTCAATAGCCAAAAAAAACCCATTAATTCAATATACCTTTTAACAAGAGACCTGATACTTAACAGTTTTTTTATACTTATCAGTTTTAATAATCACTGACTTGTCTAATAATCACTTTCAAATCACATTTCTGAAAGAAATGAGCACATTATGTATTTTTTAAAAAGTAAATAATAATGAATGGAAAACAAATTTACCAAATAAACATGGGCTAAAATTTCCTAGGTACTTACCAATTTTGTTACTACTTGAATGCGTTAGTTCTGGATCCTCAGCTACTTGTTGTTTGAGTTTCTGAAGGTATTTTTCAGCCAAATACTTAAAAACTGGAATAAAAAGAAAACGCCCAAAACCAGGTCAATTATTTATGCATGTAAATATGTTATTTCACATAATTTATAATATTTACAATGTTTATACTTACTAAACAAATTTAAAGTTAAATTAGAATTAGAAGCATATAATCTAGTTAAAAAGTCAACTTTTAAAAATTATTTGGGCAATATCTGAGAAGTACAATGTTAATATTAACAAACGTACATGGTATTTTATTAGTAAATAAGTGAAATAATACTTATAGTGATTGGTTCTTCTATTTTAAGTATCCGAATAGTGATTCATACTGAACAACGCTAAACAGATTCAGTCTTGAAAAGATGTCTACTTTCTTTAGGTGAAGAAAAGTATCCAAAATAGAGATCCAAGAGAAAATCTAGTTGCAACCTATTAAGTAGCAATTCTAGAATGAGAAAACTAATTGATCATCTTTCTCAAATTAGGAAATACTATTAAACAACTTAAAGTCATTGTAACTAGTCAATATTGACTACCATGGACGTCTTAAACAACTGAGTTATTTTTAACAGCTATCAACAAAAAACATATATGCATATACTCTGACACAAATCTAGCTTAGATTTTTCAAAGATAATAATAAAAATGGAAAACCTCACCAAGATGAAAAGTATTCAAGGGCATTAGTAAATAATTAAGGACTAACAAAAAGAAGTAGGAAGGCTTTAAATTCTACTTAATGTTAGCCAATTAAAAATTTTTGTTCTAGTTATAATTTTTAAACAACAATTTTTAAAAGCATAGGAATAAAATTTCTTTTTGCAATACATATCTTTTAAAGGCAATTTACCTTCATTCACATTGAGATCTTCTTTCACTGATGTTCTGTAGAATCTTAACTTTAACCTTTTTGCCAGTGCCTCAGCTTCCTCACTGCATAGCAGTTAAAGAAAAATGCTTTACAAAGGTAGCTTCTGATAGCTTTTTTTTAAAAAAATCACTTTTAATTACATTTACTGAATACAGTTTGGCAGGGCAGGGAGGGAAAGTGGATCACACTTTCAGAAAATTTTCGTATTTCTTTTTAAAGGAGCTCGATTATCAATGCCCAGTTAAGTAAAACCAGTTGAAAGCTACATTTTCACTTAGTGCTGAACTGATTTTAGTCTTCACTACTCTTGAGAAATCAACACCCGCTATTACACTCTATGTGGACAAAGAAGATTTTTTTCTATAAAGTCATTAATCTCTAGTCCTAAAATAAGAAAATATCACTTTTCTTTATGATACTTTAATTTTCTCTCTGCCTAAGAACACCTACATTTAATTACACTCTGAAAATCTTACAGTGAATTCTTAAATTTCTTACTGTTGATGAAACAGTTTTGCTGCCTAAAGCCAAAGTTAGTATATTAATGACTGTATCTCCAACTGTACTCCTATTTTCAGTTGTATCAGGATTCCTGGTTGTGTACTCCTGATATGAACGTCATTAGAGGCTGTAGTAACCCTGCCCCATAGGCTCCGCTATTCCCCTGGCTTCTGGTCTTCAGCCTCTTGTGTACTCTCCTCCCACACTATAATCAAGTTTTGTCTTGGGAGTCCAGTAATGTACAATGCAAGGGACAGTATGTGACTTCTAAGACTGGGTCATAAGAAACACTGTGGCTTCTGTATTGCTCTTTCTTGGAACACCCACTCTGGCAGAAACAGCCGCCATGTTGTGAGAATACTTAAGTGGCCCCAAGCAGAGGCCCATCTGGCAAGGAACTAAGGCTTCCTACTGAGTGAATAAGCCATCATAGAAATGGATGGTACAGCTGCGGTAAAGCCTTTCCGTGAGAACAGGCCTAGCCAACATCTTGACTGCAGCTTCATGAAAAACCACCAGCTAAGCCACTCCTAAATTCCTGGACTACAGAAACTGTGATATAATAGATGTTTATTGTTTTAAGACACTAAGTTTTGGGCTAATTTGTTATACAGCAACAAACAACTAACAGAAGAAAAAAAAAAAAGTTAAAAACCAAGCAAAGATTTTCAAAGCTAGCAAGAATATTAATAATGCAATGAGTAAATATTTATAAAATTATCTGGATGCCAAATTCTGTTCACAAATTTGAGCCTAAGAGTTCTAACTATACAAAATAAGATGAATCTGAACCCTTAATTAAAATTAATCAATATAGGAGAGCTATTTATTCTGGATATTATAAAATCTAGGAATGCTTTTCTTAACATTCTTAACTATATTAAAGTTTGACTTAACACGAAGAATTGGATTTATTGTGCAAAGACTTGAGATTAGAATTCTAAAAGAGCCTTCAAATTTTGTTCTTCAATTTTCTCTACTTAAGAATCAGAATGAATTTTTTAACTCAAACCAGTCACATAGAAAAGCTCACAGAAATTTTAAGTAAATTAAAATCTTTAAGTAATTTAAAACCTTCAAAATGTTAAGTATAGAAATTTTCCTAGATCCTGTAAAACTAGGCAAAAATTAAAATGCCTTAACTTTATAGGATTACTGTCCCTCCTCCCCTAAAAGTAGCCATCTTACTTCTTTATACAAGAATCATCCAAGAGATCAATCTTGTTTTGCACCAGTACAGTTGGTATATCTCCAACTTCAGCTACTACTTTCTCTCTCCAACTGGAAACTGCTTCAAAAGATTCCCTATCTATGGTAGAAAACACGAGCACACAAGCCTGGGCTCCTGTAAGTTCACAAAACAAAAATGTTATTTACATTAATAAAACAATCTCATGCAGAATGGGGACAACTTTTATCCATTCAAAACAACTTTTATGTAAATAAATGTTGAACTCATCTTTGTACCAGCCTTCTTTACTTTTCAGCTTATACACTGTATTTTCTAACTCAAAGAGCCGGTTTTTACCAAAAACAATGGATCTCAAACATGTTCAACTGTCAACAGTACCCTCAAAACCATACACATTCTTTTTGGAATACCATAAAATACTGATTTAATCCCATTATAAAAGCTAGAGAGAATGGTAAACTAAAAATGATTAGAGGTGCTGCTAAATTCTTCTTGTTAGTTTGCTTCTTAATTTCTTTCAGCACAGATTTAAGAACAATTTATGAGAAGAAATCATAATTTGCTCGTTCTATTCACGTTTAAAATAAATTGTATTATTTTATTTCAGTAGAATACCAGTGATCCTAAGGAACATAATTTGAAAGCCAATGCCAAGAGTAAAATACATATATATATATAATACATATATATATATATATAATATATATATATATTACATATATATATATATATATATATAAAATGGGGGGGGACTTAGTTTTTACCCTGTTCAACTGTATAATTTCCACCCATACTGTTATCCATTGACAGTATTTTAACCATCAACTGTCATTTTAGGCTGATAATATCAAAAACTAAAAATAAGCAGAAACCTCTTAGAAGACAGAGTTTTATAAATTGTTAGCTATTGATTCAGGTAGCATGGTGATAAAAACAGACATGTAAACAAGAGGATATCATCCTGGGAGTCAAGACGATTTCCTGAAATCAAGGCATATTTTCTTACCGTTATTCCTTACAGATCCCTCTGGTATAAGAGTTTTCTACTAAGACTCAAGATGTGCTTGGGCTATCTAAGATACTCCAGAGCCAAAAATAGTCTGTGTATCTACATATTACCAGAGGGAATACTGTAGAAAGCAAAAGATCACAGAATAAAACAGCAGTTCGTTATTACTGTAAAAAAAGGTTCATTTTTGTTGCTGTGCTTTTTTTTTTGAGACAAAGTCTCACTGTGTTGCCCAAACTGAAGTGCAGTGGCACGATCATGGCTCACTGCAGCCTCGACCTCCTGGACTCAATCAGTCCTCCCACCTCAGCCTCCCGAGTAACTGGGACTAAAGGAGCATGCCATCATGCATGGCTCATTTTTTTTTTTTTTTTGGTAGAGATGGGGTCTTCCAGTGTTGCCCAAGTTAGTCTCAAACCCCTCAACTCCAGAAATCTGTCAGTCTCAGCCTCCCAAAGTCCTGGGATTACAGGTGTGAGTGACTGTGCCTGACCTAAAAACAGATTTTAATCCAAATAGTTAATTATGCAAAATATAGAAAGAGAGAGACAAAGACACCCTGAGGCCTTGTCAGAATTTAAGGGAAAAGAAAACTGAAGAGATCACCTGAGTATACCGAAAAATAAACTGGTATTTACTTGAGCTGTAATATTTACCTCAACTACAAATAAAAAATCATTACATAATCATATTTTAATAAACTGCTGTGCACGGTGGCTCACAACTGTAAGTCCAGCACTTTGGGAGGCCAAGGCAGATGAATCGCTTGAGCTCAGAGACCAGCCTGGGCAACATGGTGAAACCCCATCTCTACAAAAAATACAAAAGTCAGCCAGGTGTGGTGGCACATGCCTGTAGTCCTAGCTACTCAGGTGACTGAAGTGGAAGGACTGCTTGAGCCTGCAAGGATGAGGCTGCAGTGAGCTGTGATTGTGCCACTGCACTCCGGCATGGGCAAAAGAATGAGACTATGTCTCAAAAAAAAAAAAAAAAAGAAATTGTTCTTTATCATCAAACTCAACGTACAGGAGGCTGAGGCAGGAGAATGGCCTGAACCCAGGAGGCGGAGGTTGCGGTGAGCCGAGATCGCACCATTGTACTCCAGCCTGGGTAACAAGAGCGAAACTCCGTCTCAAAAGGAAAAAAAAAAAAAAAAAAAAAAAAAAAAAAACTCAATGTATTAGCTTTAAGCCTAAGGCTTTAGGTCCAGCTAACTGCCATTTAAAGTTGAGGGCACAATAGGGTATCTCCAAATGTTCAAGGTCTCAGACAGTTAACCAAAAAAACCTCTTAGAGGAAGCGTATGTGATGGAAAACAAACAAGCAGACAGTGCCAGAGATATGTGCAGTAAGAATGATTAAGAAAAGCTCAATGTTACTTAAAAAATAAAAGACCAAAATATGAAGTATGTCCATAACAATCCCAAAATTATTTAGCAGGGGATAGAATGGGAGAGATCAAAGAAATGTGGGAATGTGCCAAAGTGCTCGTGTGAAGAAGGGAAGATGTTTCTGTAATCTCGGGCGGTAAATAAACCCTGCAGCAGATGCCTGTGACCAGGCATAAACGTCCCTCCTCCCCTCCGTCCCCTCCTCTGTCCCCTCGGTCGCTTCAGTACAGCTGTGGAGAGCAGTTCCTGTGCCAGGTGCTCCTGCCCTACCTCAAGCCTATGCTGCAGGGGGTCTGCTGTTCCACTGGGGGCTTTCTTGATGCATCCCCAAGCGGGGATTGATGACTATAGAGGGTGGGATTAACACCTCAGCCTCCCTTGGGTGGGCTCGAGGCCTCTCTTCATGGTTCCCCAGGGAAACTGAACCCCAGTGACCCAAAGTGATACTTAGAACCCTTTATTGGTTTTCTCCCTTCCTTGCCTCATTCTCCCTAGTCTTTTGCTCTACTTCCTGGGACCGTATCCCAAATAAACCCCCCCTACCCACGTGGGACAGTGGAAGGGCAGGGAGAGCTCAAACTAAGACAGTAAGTGGCTTAAGTTAAAGGCAATTCAACTTAAGAATAAGAGGATGTATGACTATTAAACCACAGCAGAAAAACAGATTTATGCAGTATAAAGAACAAAATCAAAAAACAACTGCAGGAAATAAAAAATCTGAAATAAGATTGCAAAAACAAGTCCTAAGAAGATAAATTACAATCTCTAGAAAGAATGGTACAAAAATCGCCAAAGCAGGACGGTATACCTGACACCAAGACTATATCAAATGCTGCACCACCTTTCTGATTTAACCTAAATATATTACTAAAATGGAAAAAAAAAATCAACTATTACTTGTAGATTACTTTTATGGTTACAGTAATTCTGACAAATGGACAACAGCTTGTTTCCATTTCCCCTAACTGAATATCACACAGATAAAGTCCATCCAAACAGATAAAGTCCTTTGTTAAACTGTGATTCCTCATGGTTCTTTTATGTTTGGAAAAATCCTAATGACCAAAAAGCCATTTCTAGTATTTATTTTAAAAAGCTCAGAAGATTACTGCTTTCCCCCAACCCCTTTAAAAAAATATTTTTTGACTGAGGTACCAATAAAGCACATAACAAATACCAGATTCCAAGATTTATGAGACAGATGATTATTTGCAGAATTTAGAAAGCAAATGGCTATAATCCTGCTACACAACTTGAACTCCCTTAAGCATTTCAAGATTTTTTTTTTTTTTAATATGAGAAGGGGGTTGGAAAGAAAGAGGATCTGTAAAGAATTTCTTTAGAAAAAGTCCTGTACTCCAAACGCTCTATCCTGTGAAAAGATGCGGCAGGACGGATGAGGGTGCTATCACCACTTCCTTCATCTTAAACCTTAAAGAATGGGCGTCGGCAAGACCAATTAAGGAAGCTGTTATGTATTTCCGGCAACTGGGAGACATTTTGGATTAGTGGTGCCCTGATTCAAGCATGAGAAATATGCAGTGACTGAAAGTGAGAATGAAAAATCAAAACCAACAGACCAAAAGCAGAGAGCCATATCAGGAAGGAACCGTGCTTCCCTCAATGGCAGGGTAGGGGCAGAGATGAACCGCATCCAAGAGATACCAGTAATAGGGCTCCGGACGTGCTACCCTAAAATGTGGCACCTTGACGTATTGAATATTTTAAGCTAAAGGAATTTGAGAAACAGCAGAAGAGGAGGGTCACTTTGATTTCCCCCCCAGTCCTTTCTCCTCTGAAGCAGGTCATAAAACTCAGGAAAGATTTTCATTTTTGATTTGTTTTTTTTTTGTTTGTTTTTTTGTTTTTTTTGTTTTTGTTTTGAGAGAGAGAGGGAGTCTTGCTCTGTTGCCCAGACTAGAGTGCAGTGGCATGATCTGGGCTCACTGCAGCCTCTGCCTCCCAGGTTCAAGCAATTCTCTTGCCTCTGCCTCCTGGTTAGTTGGGATTATAGGCACCCATCACCGTGTCCAACTGATTTTTCTATACTTTTAGTAGAGATGGGTTTTCACCACATTGACCAGCCTGGTCTTGAACTCCTGACCTCAAGTGATTGGCCCACGTTGGCCTCCCAAAGGAAGGATTTTCTGACCTTTACCTGAAGGAAGTCATAAGCCCCTCAGATGAGAGTTGACCTCCTTATACCCAAAGGAAGGAAGCATCCTCATTTCTGAAGAGAGAGGGACACCAAAAGGAATCTGAATGAACCTTTGCTGATGAATCTTGCTAAGTTTCTCCTAGTTTATGGCTCTTAGCTTTGTCCTATCACATTCTTCAACGACTTTGCACTCTTCCTCAAACCTGGTATAAAAACACTCAGGTTTAACTGTTTCTTTAGGTCTTCATTTCTTTATGAAGGCTCCTTTGTCACATAAAACTTTTATTAAATAAATTCATATGCTTTTCTCTTGTTAATCTGTCTTTTGTTAGAGACCCAATCAAGGACCAAAAGAGTAGAAGAAAAAAGGTATTTTTCCTCTCCTACAAACCAATGTCTCAGTAAAAAACTATGACAAAAATCTATTTTATGTTGTATATATTTTTCTGTACTAACTAAAAGCATTGGTTCCTACTGCCTGGAGTAGACGTTCTAAAAAGCTTTAGAGAAGTCAGTTGGGATCCCGGAGGCTTCCTAATCTGTGCTTTGTTGTAACCTATTTACAAGACAGTCTTGTTTCAACATGTCTCACGTA